TTCTGCAGATTTGTTGTATAGCAATGTGAATATACACAACAATCCTGCACCATACCTGTAAAAATGGTTGAAGCAGTACATTTTAGGTATATTTTCTGCAATATAAAGAGACATTATTGGAGTATTTGAAGTAAATGGAATGATAGTAGTATCAGTTGTTAAACTGGAGTGTCTCTTAACTTTTGTAAACCTTTTTCATAATGTATTAATCATTTTCTTTTCACTGGGAAAAAATTAAGAGTCTGGGAACCTCTCTGACCCCCTCCTCCAGGCCATGACCTCTAGGCTCTCCTAGCACTTCCAATCTTGACCAGGCTATCTTATGAGCAACATGATACCTTTATTAGAATAAGTCACAGTCTGGGATTGTGATAGGGATCAGCTTTGGATCTCGAGTGCTTGCTTCAGAGTAGGACTGAGTGGTCCCTGCCACAATGGGTCCTGGAAATCATAAACATATCTAGCCATGAGTGGGGGAGACAGCTTAGCAGTCTAAGTGCCTGCCTGGCAAGCGCAAGGTCCGGGGTTCCATCTCCTTACTGCATGCCCTGCTGGCCCTGCCCCTGGGCGAGCGGAGCCAGCCACCAAAAGTGGGCCGGTGGTGCATGCCTGTAATCCTAGCACTGGGAGGCTGAGACAGAAGGATCACTATGAGTTCAAGCTGAGTAGTGAGATGCTGTGCCAAATAAAATAAAAACAAAAAACAAAACATATACAGCCACTCAACTGAAGCTGACACTGGTCTAGGGGCCTGGCCCTCCAGGAGCCTAATTGTGAGCTTTCTTAGCTCCAGATTTCTTCAAGGCAGTGTTAGTGGAAATGTCTGCATCCAATCTCGAAATCTGGGCATTGAGAATTGTGTTCTTTGCTGCTTCTTCAGACACGTCACCATCATCATCATCATCATCATCATCATCATCATCATCATCACACGTTGAATCTCCAGCCATTGCCCTTTCCGTGGTATCACTGTTTCTCCTGGAGGCGTCTTCAAGGGCCATCTCTCTCTGGAGGCTGAGAAAAGCCATCACTGGGGCTGCATCCCCAGGAGACAAGCTCTTTTGTTCCTGCAGGTTCCCAGCCAAGCTTCCCCACTGGCCTAAGAAGAACACATCTCCAGGAGCAGGAAGGCTTCATCTCCTAACTCCAGTGAAACTCTTTTATTTTACTTGAAATATATTTCACCATCTTCATCACTAGCACTTACTCAGCACTTGCTGCGGTGGACCCTGTGCCAATCCCTTTATGTGGGCTTACTACTCTCAAAGATACTATGGAGGAAGAAAACTAGATTACACGGCTTTATTTCTTTGTGCCTCATTTTTCTCATCTGTAAAATGGGAATAGCTAGAAGCCTTATTTGCATTTGCTTCCTTTGAGGACAAAGTAAGAGAAGGCATGGCATTTCACTGATGAGAAAAGTGAAAATAGGGTTAGGATTAGCATGGGAACCTGTGGCCTCTGGATGCTCAGAATAGGTGATTTCAATGAGGTTGAAGGTGGGCAAGGAGGAGAGCAGAAATGAGGCAGACAAAGCCAGAGGCAGCAGCCCCTACAGTATAGCGACGAGAGCACTGTAGGACCTCCAACCACGGCCCACACTGGTGCTCAGGTCCTTGCAGTTACAGGGATGCAGCCCCGTTTCCAGGTGAGGTCCTTGTCTGCAGGGACTGGAAGGCCAAAGTCAACAATGAGGCCTGAGTCCCTTATAGGGAAGGAGAAGCTCAGCCAGTAAATGAGGGGTACTCAGAGAACCAATTCTAAGCCAGTCCCCTTTACTTAGGAGGAGAGAGGTGAGAATACTTCTGAAGTACCACTGGGGGACATCTCCACAGGCAGCACCAAGGCCAGACAAGCAGATGGGGCAGGGGGGAGAAAGGTTCTGGCCCAGGCTGGAGCAAGACAGCGAGGGAGAGTGGGAGTAGGCAAAGACTGGGTTGGACCTCAAGAGCTGGGGCAACTGCTGTGGACACAGGTTGGCCCTTGTGTCAGAAGCCCTCAGGGAAGACAGGGAGGGATGGACAGTGCCTGACATACTGTCAATGTCAAGAGTTTGAGGTCAGGGGGCATCATGCACACACCTTGCCTTTGAGAATTGCTCCAGACTGTCTGAGAGGGGCTGATTTTGTGTTTCCGGCAGCATGAAAGAGAAGTACAAGGCCATAGAGGTCAAGATGCAGCAAAGAGCCATGGGCTGGAGTGACAGGATCCGGTGGATGATTGTCTCAAACGACATGGCTCCACCTGATGAGGCCAGAACTGTCAGCCCCAGGCCTGTAGCCCTGAAAGAAGAGGTGGGAGCTGGTCTGGAAGGCTTGTCAGGCAGAGGCCTGGTAGGCCTGAGGAGAAACGCAAACCCACTGCTGTCTGCCTTGTCTGAGCTCATTATGTAACACTGAAGAATTTAGTTCTCTATTGATTCAAAGTGAGCAGTAATCTTTTCTGGAACTCCTCCCTAGGTGTCAGGAGTGGGAGAGGTAAGAATCATGCAGTGCTGTTGTGGTGGTGGTGGGGTGGTGGCACAGCCGTGGATGCCGGGTGGGTAGGAAGACATGGCTATAGCTGCCATCAACGAGGCCACCTGTGGGGAAGGAGCTGAGGCTCAGGGTGGCCCGTGTACTCTATGCAGTGAGCAAAGGAAAGAACTGGCTTCAGACTGCCCTGGTCCATTCCCAGTTTCACCTCTTGCTATGTGCAATCCTGAATAAGTGCCTTTATAGCTTTAATTTTATTCTCTGAAATAGGATTAATGATGTTTGGGAGAGTTTTGGGTGAGGCTTAAGTGAGGTGATCCATGCAAACTGCGTGGTAAGGTACTTGTCCCCAGGCAAAAGCTCAGTGGTAGCTGCTAAAGGAATCCTGTGATTTCTCATCCCTCCCTACAGCCCCATGGCCCCATGGCCTCCTCAGCCACCAGAGCCCATACCTGAGGACGGTGGGGAGGAGCTCAGCAGTGTAGATGAACAGGACAGTGATGGTGGCAATCAGGCTGGACTCTCCAAATGCGAGCATCAACATTGTGGATTTTGGCTTTTTATCTAGACAACAGAGCCCTCTGAGTGTGGGGTCATCCTGTCTTTGGGGCCCATCAGTCCTTCCTAGGTTGCTTGCAGAGAGCATTCCTGGCACTGGTCAGCTGGCCAGCAGACCCAGGCATTCAGGAAGAGGAGGCCCCATCAAGCTGACATTCAGTAGCTCTGCCATGGGAGCCTTGGCTAAGGAAGGGGGTTTGGCCACTGGATCTCCTGCTAAGTGGCCCAGAGGCCTCTTACGCTACTGTCCACCATGCTGAGCTGAGTCTCCACATGCCTGATTTGTGCAAGGTGAACTGGGTATCAGGTGTTAGATCTCGGGGGTCTGCACTGCAGGGGCTGGTCCTAAACACTCCAGGATACACACTCAAGAGTGAGTGGCACTGGAGCTCTTGCTCATTGTCTGCAGAGGTTGGCAGCTCCTCTTTTGTCAGATCCCAGCCTTAGCCCCAGTCCCTCAAGAAGCCAGTGGTGAGCAACTCTAAACAGTATATACTGACAATGAGCCCAGTGTGCTCCAGCTCCATGACCTGCTGTGTGTTCACTGCCTAGAGCTCTTGAAATGCTGGAGGTATTTTCAGACCTTGCCTTCTTCCTTTCTGAGTGCTGAGGCTCAGGAGCTAGGTACAAAGCTGTCAAGAAGGTGAGACCTCTGAGTAGGAATTAGTCCTGTGGTTGGGCCCAATGCTTCACTCACCCAGTTTTCAGTGAATAGATTATTCCTAAAGTCCCAGATAACCACAGACACTTCCCAGATGGGCTGCAGAGAGAGGTAGGGGCCAAGGCAGTAAATAGAGGAATATTTCACATGTGACTACTACATCTCCTTCAGATGTGGGCCAGAACCAGGGGCAAGAAGGCTGCCTTCTGGCTGATTCCTCTGGACAGCATGCCCTGCTCTCTCAGACCTCTCAGTGGGTCAGGGAGTATGTCTCAGGGTTCTCTACTTGGCACTGCTCCTAAAGGTCTGGGGCTCTCTCAGGGTGTACGGGGCAGGGCCAACTTCAACTGAACTGCCTAGTTCAGGGGTCAAGCTGGGGAGGTCTGCAAGGAAGTAGAGGGGCCATTAGCAAAGTGGACTATACCTTGGAAGAGCAAAAGAAAGCCACATATGATGGTGGTTTGGGTGAGAGCCACAATCAGGCTGCACTTCCTTCCCTTGTACTCGAGGAGTATGATGCAGCACATCTGAACAGGTACCTTCATGATGCTGGAGATGGCCTGCCTGAAGGGGAGGTTCACTCCAAAGTCTCTGGGTGTGAAGATCAGTGTAAAATAGGCGTAGCCAACGGTAAACCTGAAATGAAGTCAGGACACACACACACACGCACACACACACACACACACACACACACACACACACACAGAGCCAGGAATAAGACAGAAACAAAGAGAGAGGTAAGGACAGGGAGAGAAGCACAAGGATCTGGGGGATGTGATCCTGGGCCTTGCTCCTCTTGTAGCTTGCCTATCTCCCACTCCCTCTCAAATTGATGGTTTGTCCACCAGCCCTGGGTACTCACCACACACAGCCCATTATCAAGATCACCTTGCGGAGGTGCTTATTATAGTAAAAGTCTAGGATAGATGCCTCAGTCACCGTGTCTTGGGGCAGCTGAAGCTGGAACACAAGCGGGACCCGTCAGAGGAAAGGCTGAGAGTCACTTGCTCCCTTCCCGACTAACCCTGTAAAGTCAGCCCACTCCCAACAAGGCCTGCTTGTCTCCTGCCTAGTCCTGGCAGGACTTAATTTCACTGTAATCATTGTCCTTGAGCAATGGGCTGGGCTACCCTGATGTCCAACTGCAGGGCTAAGCAAAGAGGCTTCCCCACAGTCACTGCCTGAAGCCTCTTACCTTATTCAGCAGGTTACAAGGAATGATTTTCTTGTTCACACTGGCTGCATAGCACAGCACTTGCTTGGCTTCTTCCACCTTCCTTTTCATCATCAGCCACCGTGGGGACTCTGGGAGAATCCTGTGTGCCCAAACCCTCTCTCATTTCGTTATTCCAGGACCCCCTAGAGAGCCATGTTGGTCCTGTCCCAGCCTCAGTTGTGCCCACACTGCTCTGGCATAAGGTGACTCATGGGCTATGAAAGTCACCACCAATTTTGAGATACCTCCTGTCCCTCCCTGGCAAGCAGCCCATTCCCTGTCCAAGCCACACATAGCCCCCTTGGCTGCTTGGTGACACTGGCCCCTTGCTGCCTCTGCCCTGCAGCCTCCTGTCCTCTCACTCGCCTCTAAGGACACCCTTCTCTCCTACCTTAGCGTATGTCCTCACATGCCTGAACACACCCAGGGCACACACTCATGCCCACATCTGCTGTGAGGGTTTCTTTCTTAGGGTTGGATTTGTCTTAGAATGTAGGTCAGGAACCTGGATCTTACCTAGGGTCCAGCACCCTGCCTAGAGTGTGGAGAGGTGAGTGAAGCTCTCATTCCAGCTCCTTTCTTCCTCTAAGTATCACTGCCTTTGACCTCAAAACAAATTTCCCCTCTCAGTTTTTCTGAGTCTTCTCAAACTATCAGAATTCATGCAGATCACCAGTTAAAGCATGCAGTAAGCAGAAGGATTGTGTTCAGGGCCCTTGTATATAGCATCTTGTTTAACCTCTGCCTTCCTTTCCTAGTGGGATGATTCTGTATGTTTCCTAGCCTTAGGGGATTAGGGCATGGCCAAGGTCATGGAGGGTGTGCTGGTGTGATGTGGCCCTTTGCTCAGACACTCTACAAAACCTTGCTGTGATGCCCTGCCAAATTCGTACACCATTACTCTCTCCCTAGTCTGGACTCTACAGATGGTTTCTAAAGACATATATTTTGGATACAAGAGATGACTTCATTCTCTGTGTGCCCTGTGCCTGCCCCTTCCGAGGGTCCAGCCATCAGTTATGGTTTTCCATGCGAAGGCTGCAGAACACTCTTATTTAAAGAATGTCATCAAGCAGGGACTTCTTCAAGAAGATGAACTGATCATGTGCCCACTAAAACACAGAACAACAACAACACCAACAATAATCAGAGTGAATTTTCAAGGACAATGAGAGGAGGATAAAGGACACTGTAGGAGAAATGCAACATTCATGTTGTGAAGCTTGAAAGTATGTGGAACACTTCTGAAACTTCTGCTGCTGTGGGCTGAATGTTTGTCCTCTAAATTCATGATGAAAACCTTTCTGCAGCAAAGAATCAGGATTAGTGGATTTGTAGAAGGCTTGGGGGAGCTTGCTTTTCCCTTTTTCATGTAAAAGCTCATGGAAAGTGTCCTAATAGAGGAAGAGGTCCTGACCAGACTCTGCATCTATGGGGACCTTGACATTGGGCTTTCTAGATTCAAGAATGTGAAGAAAAAGTTTATGTTTATGAATCACGCCATGTGAGATATTTTGAGGTAGTATCCAGAACAGACTGACAGCAGGCAAAGCCCCTGCCACACATTATATTTGGGAGCACTGGGAGATAGTCCTCTTGGCTCCAGTTCTCACGGGTGGGACCGCTCCACTGCACCTATAATCTGCACTTAGAAGACAAGGAAGGCTGAGGGAGTGAACACAACGTCAGGAGTAAGGGCAGAGGATAGATACACAGGAACAGAAAGGAGACTCTTAATGATGAGGCAAGTCTCACCCTCCAACACCAGCAGGCAGTACAACAGCCAGAGCCAGGGAATGCCCTGGCTTTAGGATGTTTATAGAACATGCACTCAGCAGTAGCGGTTTTCACAGAGTGGTCAGCTGGCCAGCAGGATCAGTGCCAGCAGGCAACTTGTTGAAACTACAGCTTCTTGGGTGCACCCTGCCCCTGCACACACATGAACTCTGGGGAGAGGTCCAGACATTAGGGCTTAGCTGGCTCCAGTGTGATTCTGATTTCCACAAAATCTGAGATCTTTTCTATGTTTATCAGCCAGTTGACTACTCCTTGGGGTTTCCCATTAGCTTTTTAGTAACACTGCCTTAAATAGGAAGGCATAATCAGAGATCACTGGAAAGCAGCAACAAACAACAACAACAACAATAACAACACAAACAAATTTAAGAGGATCCGAAATAAGCAAACAGAGTGATCCAGGAAGACATATACTCCGGGAATTATGAGGAAAAAACAACAAATTCTAAGTTACAACAACTGAGAATGTTTTATCATTTTATATTAATGAAGATACAAATGCTATTGAGAAAACAATCAGAAAATAAGTGTACCAACTAAGTGAATCTTTCTGTCCCCAAATTTTAGCTGAAACAATGAAGTCCAAAAGCTGGAAAGAAAGGATAAAAATCTTGAATTACATATAGAGATATGATGATATAGAGGGCAGTACTTATAAAGAAAAACAGCAACACAGCTCAGAGTCCAGGCTAGAAACTCCAGTGCATGGAAGTGAAAGACGCTTGAATGAGTCTCCCCGTGGCACCACTGCTCTCACCTACTGCAGCCAGGATAGTAGAGTCCTGACAAACTGTGGGAAGGTAGTCTGCACCCTCACCATTGGACAGAGGCTCAAGGGCTTGCTCTTCTACTCGAGGCCAAGGCCACGAGATACCCTAGGAGAGGGCTGATCTGTTTCCTGAAGACTGAAGTCAGGCCACCCTTCCTCAGCCTTTCCTCTCTTGCCTTCATTGTGGACCATCCCATTCTTGAACCCTTGCCTTTTAGTACCCTTTCTTTTTTCTGACTTCGCTGGAAGCTCTTTGAGGGTTTCCTCTACGAGAGGAGCAACACTGGGGTTTTGGAGGCTTTGCCCAAACTCTTCATCTCCTCCACATGCGCCTTTTCTAGGAAAAGCCCCCAGCTGTTCCCATACCCTTCATCTCTACACATCAGATCCTGGCCATGCACACCTGAAAAGTGCTTGCTTACCAGATGTAAATGATGAACAGGAACATAGGTGCCCCACCCACCAGGAACAGCAGCCGCCAGTGGGGAAGGCTGTAGCTGAGTGCCATCAGGAACAGGACACCCACAGACATGAAGCAATGCTCCAGGAAGATGGCATGGACACGGTGACTGCCCACTAGCCATTCAGTGGCTGTGAAGAGGCAAAGAGAACAAAACCATGGTCAGCTCAGAATCCAGGCTTCTCCTATACCCAGCCTTCTGAGATGCCCTTTCTCTGTGCTGGAGATATCAGGCTGGGCAAAAGGTTTTTCCCCCGGTTCATGTTCTTCACTAGGCTAGAGAACCCTCTCAAAACCACTCAGAGTGACTTTGTGCCCCTCAGAGTGTGTATCCTAGGTTTAACCTGTCCTCCCTGTCACAGGCCTTCTAAGTTTTTTTTTTTGTTTGTTTGTTTGCTTTTAACCTGGCTGATCCCTCTAGACCTCCTGCCTGACCATGCTATCTACTACAGAAGACTTCTACGCACTATGCTGCTCCTGCGGCCACACACACAAGAAGGCAATGAATCCCTGTCCTTGTCTTTAGGTGCATTCATGCTTTGGCCATCGAGACCTAATGGTGTGTGGAGGACCAGATTCTCCTGGAGCAAAAGCTCCCTGCTCAGAAGTCCACAGCACAGCAGGGATCTTAGGTATGAGATTTAGTCACTGAACCTTCTGAGGGCAGTGGATGTGTGGATGTACACTGGGGCTTTGGCGTCACATAAGCCTGGTTGAAACCTTGAGTCTTTCTCTGTAATGCTGGGTAAGATGATTAACTGTTGGAGGTACAAATATCCTTCTCAACTAAAGGAATAATAGAATGGTGCATACTGAATAGAGGGTTGTCCAGATGAAGTGATCCAATGCATGTGCATGGGTCTTAGCTCCCTTGGACTGGGGTCAGTGAATGTCAGCCACATGGGGGTGTGCAAAGGATGTGCAGGGAGAATGAGGGATACCATGGAAATACTGTGGAGAGTGAGAAACAGGCTTCCTGTGTGCTACTGCTCTGGCATCTGTAGGCCATCCCTCACTTCTGCCTTTCCTGCTCAGGTACTGTGTCCTGTTGGCTTCTGGGAGGTCCCAGCTAGCCCCTTTTGTCTTGCTTAGGCTGACACCTCTTCCTGCACCCTGAGATACTCCCTCTCCCCACTTCCACCTTCTGCCCTGCATCTCTGCTCCCATCCAGCCCTCTTCCTTGAGGCCCAGTGTCACCTAAACACACACTGCTGATGGTGTAACCCATCACTGCTTGGAACACAAGGAAGCGGAAGAAGAAATACTGGTGAAGGCTGCTCACAAAAGCTGTTCCAAAGCTGAAGATGGTCAGCCCCAGCAGTGACATCAGGATAGCGGGGTAACGGCCCAGCCTAGGGGATCAAAGTGAGGCTGCATCAAATGATGGACCTTCCTGGTCCAGGCCTTCAGCTGTCTCTGGGACCCTGACAGCTCCTCCCTTAGTCTTTCCCACCTTGAGTTTCACTAAACAAATACTGTCCATAGACAGGAAGGGTGTCCCCAGGACTAGTGGGAACTGTAGGGGACTCACATGTCATTTATGAGCCCAAAGATGAGAGACCCTGTCAGGAAGCCAGCCATAGGTATGGACTGCAGGTTTTCCTCATCTTGCTCCTTGCCACACACCAGGTCAAACTGGGGGGTTAGACACAGGAATTTACCATAGGTCTCCAGCCAGGTTTAGCCTTTTTATGTGCAGTGACAGAGCCTGGCCAGGTGGGACCTTGAGGCAGAGAGCGCATGGGGAATGGGCAGGTGACTGTGCAGGGCACCTCACTTCTGCTACCTTTGCACCTTCCCTGAACTCAGGTGACAGCCCAGGCTCGAGAGAAGGACCAGAGGCATAGGCTAGGAAGGAAAAATGTAGCTAAGAGAACTGAACATAGATATGAATCACTGAGGACCCAAGTGCTGGGCTCTAGCCTAGAGCTGTAGATGGGCAGGTGTGTGCCAGATAGGGCCCAGGCTGCAAGTCCTAAGAGACATCTGAGAGAAGCTCGGATTGCTTCCAATCTCTGTTTCTGTGAGTTTAGAGGGTACAGCCACAACTTCAGAACCATTTCCCTGCACAGATGGCCAACCTTGCCACTTTATCCCCTATTTGCTAACCCAAACAAACTTTGTCTTCAGGGCTAAGGCAGGCAGGGCCAGGGGTGGGTAACAGGCACTCAAATTTCTGTCAAGGTCCACTTTTGCAGGGTGACCTCAGGCTAACTGCTATCCCGCTTCAGCAAACCTCTAGGCCTCTGCTGGCAGCTACAGACAACCCAGGGTGAAGCACACCTCATTGACCAATGATCGAGTTTTGGAGTTAGGATAGATCCACCCATCTTGGCATGTAGTAGTGTGGTTGAGGCCAAAATGGATGATAGAATCCAAATCCCAAGGCACAGGCAAGTACATGAAGCATGTCAGGAAACTGCCGTTGTGTGCCCGGGGCAGGGTCAGATTCAGCTGCTCAGCCTCTGAGAGGTTGGGACCCACTGCCAGAATCCAGCTGGTGTTGCAGTAGTGCTCCTGGTCTGTGAACACAAAGTACTCAGCATACATGAAGCCCAACAGGATGCCAGGGATGAAGATGAGAGCTACCAGCCTCTGCTGGAATTTGCCAAATTCCCCCACTGCATTCAGGATGTTGGCAAATTTAGCATCCTTATTGGTAGTCCTCAATGGCATTTGGTGTCCAAGGATGAAAAGGCACTGGTACTGTCTGTTCCTTCAAGCTCCTAGAACCATGGGATCGATCTATGCCTTGGAGTTCTTTCTCCTTCTGTTGAAAGAAAGGATGCAAATCAGCTTCCTGACACCATTACTAAGACATCAGATGTCAGCACAGGTGCCACTGGCAGAAAGCGACCTCTAGCTTGGAACAGTGTGGATTTCACAGTTGCCTATTTTCCCTCAAAGTTCCTTAGCTCACATAATTTGCTTGCTATCTCTGGCTTAATCATCCTTGATTTTCAGTGCAATAAAGATTGCCAATGTTTTAGAAAATGCTCTCCTGTTGTCCTGAATGATAAAGCTTTGAGAAACTGTCTCTGAGCTTCCCTTATGACTGAAGTTGTTCATATACACACTGAGCCATCAGTGGAATTGCAAAAGGTAGGAGAGGTCTCCAGGGACCTTTCTTTTCAAACCAAACAAACATCTGTGTGGGGAAGGGCCAAGAGCTGGAGCCAAACAGCTGGAAGCCTTGGTTATAGAGCTAGGCACACAAGGCTGGAATGCAGGGTTTCAAAGCCAGGTGGCACAGAGCAGAGGTGGAGAAGCAGCAGAGGGGGTGGTGCGGGGTAGCAATATTGGTACATATGATACTTTGGGACATCAGGAAGAAGAGGTACTGAATTTAGCATTCTGATTTGAGCCCAAACCCTCAGTATACTTAAAAAAAAAAAAAGTCTGGCCCATAGCATGTTGCAGCCACCAGCAGAAGCAGAAGCAAGCTCTCCCTGAGGACAAGTTCTCCAGCTGGCCCGTGAGTCAGTCACAGACCAAGATCAGGCATAGACTGTGGACTCAGCAGGCAAGCCACTGAGAGTGAACAGGGCCCAGACAATGGGCTGGCTGCAGGTACTGGAACTAGCAGATGTAAAATAGAAGGCAGCTAATATTAGAATTTTAAAAGTGTTCATTACAAAAATGAAGTTATAATAAGCATCAAGGAAAAACAGATACTTTTATTAGGAAGACACCAAATCGGGTAGCAAGTTGTTGTTGAAATAAAAACCCTAAAAGGAAGGTTAAAGAGATTCAACATAAAGAAGTAGTGAACATGAAGGTAGAGCTGAAATGCGAAAGAGAGGTAAGGAAGGCTTGACAGGGGCCTGACGGGAAGCCCACAAGAAGAAATGGAAAATCAGTATTTGAAAAGATAGGAGCCGCGCATTTTCTAAAACTTGAAAAACATGAATCATCAAGATCCAGAAAAAAGGACTTATTTCATTCAGTTCCCCCCGCCCCACAAACACACGAAGACTGATTTCAAGCAGGATGAATAAAAAGGGAAACCAAGGCTAGAAGCCACAGTGGCCAGTGACAAAGCTCTGGAAGCACCACTAGGGAGGACACGGATCTCTGAAGGCAGCGCAGGGAGTCTCAGCAAATAAAAGAGTGAAGAGTCACTTTGAATCGTGGTGGTCGTTGATCGCGGTAAAGCTAGTCTAGGCTTGCACACTCAGGGACATTTCACCAGCGGAAGTTTTTTGTTTTGTTTTGTTTTTTGCCTTGCGCTTGCCAAGGAAGCGCTTACTCTATCGAGCCATCTCCCTGGCTCACAGCGGAAGTTTGAGCACACAAACAAGAGACCTGATCTAAGGGAGCTTGTAAAAGGTCCCAGGAGGACCCTCGAGGTGTGATAAGGCTCAGCCCAAACTGTAAATACGTAAACAATTTAAATAGTGGCTGATTGTATTAAATAATAAGAACAATTCCAAAACGTGGAGTTAAAAAGAAAAAGAGATCCGTGGGCTTTTTAAGTCCGGAGGTAGAAGAGTAAAACCAAACAGTCCTATAACCTTCCGGTTTTGTTTCCATTGTTCAGGTGGGGAAGGAACGCTTTTAAGTTACATCCGCTCCACAGAATTTCAGGAGCAGCCACTCCCGTCTGGCCCCGCTTCCGGGCGGCTGGCTTCCAGGGCTGGTCCGCGGGTGGCGCAGTGCGAGGCGCCGGGACTCCTGCGCCCAGGCCTCTAGCGGATGCTCCCCGCAGCGGGTCGCTCCCTGCAGCTGGGCCGCCCTCTGCGCCTCACTCTCCGCGCGCTCCAGCCCCCCCCCCCCCACCCCCCATCTTAGATCTCGGCCCACATCCAGCAGGCGCTGCTCCGGGCCGGTTCCGGGCGCAGCGGGATCACCCAGGTCCCGGCCTGCACGCAGGGCCCGGCCCGACCAGGGTGGCGCCGTCGGCAGCCTGGGGACCGCTGCAGCCTCCCTGGTTTCCCCAGCTTCCTTAAGGCGGCTTCTCTCTCCCCAGCTGGCTAGCGCTGCCCCGCCGCCCCGCCGCGCCGCGCACTCCTAGGTCCGCCGCTGCCGATTTATTCCTCAAAAGGCCCACCAGGGCCTTGCAGCATCGGCGTTTGTCACGTTTGTCACCGTCTGTGCCTCCTGCCTGGTCCCAGAGTCTGGGGTCTTGTTAAGAGGAAGCACAAGCTGGGATGCAAGAGAGGGAGGAGGCATGGGCTGAATGACAGCCTCCCCAGAAATGGCCACCCCTAATCCCCAGATCCTGTGAATATGCCCCGTATACGGCAATGGGGATTAAAGCTGTTGAGAAAACGAAGTTAACTCTTCAGATTTCTTTAAAATAAAGAGACCCTGGGTTATGTAAAATGACACAATGTGATCTCGGTAGGCAGGAGGGGCAGAACCAGAGGTTACTCCGCCCTTGGTTTCCAGACACTTCATGATCCAAGGATCACAGCAGCTTCTAGGCGCTGTGAAAGGTAAGGAGATGGAGTCTCCCCCAGAGCCTACATCAGGTAGTAAAGGAAATCCGTCACTAAGTGTGTTTGTGTGCTACAGCGGCTGGGAAGCCACCCTGGCTTGCACATGTATAGGGCTGGAGGGGCAGAGGTGCGCAGAAGAGACTTCAGGGAGGAAGGAAATCCACCATCCTCTACGAGATTCAGATTCTAGGCCAGAGCTAAGCTGTCAGCCTCCCCTGCAGGGTGCCCTTCAGTGCCCCAGCACACCCTGAATGTCTGATAGTCTGTGAGGCCCCGGAGTACTCCTTCCAACTACTGACCCCAAAGATCCTCTGCCACGTGGACATGCCCCAGGCCCAGGAAGCTGGGGGCTGGAAGAGCTGTGGACAGGAGCAGCTGTCTACCAGAGGGCAGGAAATGGCCAGAAGCCACACCTGAAGTCTCTTACCTTCTGTGAGACAGTCTGATCTTTCTTTTTTTTTTCCTCCACTTAATTTAATTTAATTTTGAAAAGTAAAAGCAAAAGCAAGAACAAAAATCAGAAACAAGACAGAAACAAGGGAACATAGAACACATTTCCCAGTGCCAGATAGGCCCAGGGAGGCTCTTACCCAAAACTGTACGGAAACACGACCTATAATTGCTGGGCGTCATCCTAATTGCCATCCTTCTTACCTGAACAGGACCACAAGCCAAAACCAGGGCCTGCCTGGCCACTGTCCAGGCCCAGCCAGATACTTGGAAGCAGAAACAACCCTGAGTTCTGTTCTGGCTGGGGAGTTGGTGTCACAATGGGATGGGCAGGGTGGGCTGGGATTGGTCAGAGTGGCCTTCTACTCCTTGGACACAGCTGACCTCAGTCTTAGACACAGAATGGGGCAGGGTTGGCTGTGCAGACTGCCGCATGAGCAAGGCCCATGGCTATGTGCCAACTGTTTTCTATCCCTGAAGCTCTCATCGTTCCCAGCATAATTCTACCCTGCTGAGGGAGATTCTCCTATCCTTCCAGAAACTATTTCATTGTCAGTTATACTTCAAGTCATCTTTTTTTTTTTTTTTTTTTCTGGAATCAAACTCAGGACCTTGTGCTTGCCAGGCAGGTGCTTATGCTGCTGAGCTATCTCCTTGGCCTAGACATCCTGATTTTATAGCTGAAATGATTTGTCCCTGCTGAACACCTTTGTTCAGAGCTATCTGTTTCTGAGTCATTTTCCCATCAAGCTCTTTTGATGTTTTGTGGGAACAAGGCCCCAGCCTTATTGTTCGGGGTGTGGGGTGGAGATCAGCATGGAGCTGTTACCAGGCAGACCCTAGAGGGCAACAGAGGGGTGCTTGCTGGGGAAGAGGAAGCTCTGTATCTCTGAGCAGCCTCAGCCAAGCATTGCTGAGGCCCCTTGTCCCCTGCTCAGCAGTCACAAAAGCTTCCTGAGCCTATAGCAAGAGAGCTCCCTTCCCCACCCCACCACCCAGGCCATGGCCAGGGAAGCTGGACCAGCAGTCCAGAAGGTTGGGACTTAGGCCTACCTGAGTCTCTACTTGGCAGACCCAGAGTGTACTCGGGATTCTGGCAAAAAGGATTCAAGCCACCAACATATACTAAGGGGGGGGGGGAAGTTATTTGATATATTTGAAAAAAGCCACCAGTGAATGAATTGATGGGACACCTGCATACGGCTGCTCTGCAGCTTTCAATGACCTCAGTCACTTAGTAGAGCTCACCTCTCCTGATGCCTGGGGTGCAGACCTTCCTCTCTTACAGGCCTCCCAGGTGTCTGCACATCACCTGAGCAACTAGTCCCTTAAGCTCCCTTGAGTTTCAGATTTAGCAACACTGCTGGGGACGCAGGGATTGAGCAGGGGCACAATAAGGGCCCAGCATTCCTCAGTGAGGCTGATAATAAGGGCAGGGAGCACCTTTTTGCTCTGGTTACAGCACATACATGTCTCAGGTAGAGGAGAGCCCAGTGATGGCTGAGACTGAATTTCCAGTAGCTCAAAGAGGTGTAGGTATAGAGTTTAAGCAAACAGGACTTCTTTTTGTTTTTTTATCTTTTATTTATTCAGTACAAGGTCTTGCTATGCAGCTTGGACTTGTAGTGATTCTTCTGTTTTAAGCCTCCAGGGCTGGGATTACAGGTGTGCACCACCATACCCAGTTTCAGTGGCCAGCACGGTATATCCAAGGCAGGGCCTGCATGGCATATGGTGCCGGGGATCAAATTTGGGTTCCTGAGCTTGCCAGGCAGGTGCTTAGACCACTGAGTTATCCATCAAACCCATATGGTTTCTTATACTCATGAAGCTACCAGGCTCATGTGTCTACTGGCTACAAATATTAATTTTCTTTCTAAAATGTCAAGGTATCATTACTGTTTCACTTGTTTTGAAATTGAGAAAACTAGTAAATATCAGTGTCTTCGTACTCAGGCTGAATGCTCAAGAAACATGGTTATCAATACCCTCATCTCTAAGGAGAAAAGCTGAGGAGGTCAGCAAGCAGGGGCCAGAGGGGCTTCCACCTCCACCCTCCAGGGACAAGGCTCAACTCCAGGGAGGTCCTATGCACATCCTGGCAACCTAAAAGGTGGACTCTTCCTGGTGAAGGTCTGTCCAGGCCCCTGTGAGGGCAAGTGCCCTAGAAAGCCTGGCTGGTAACAACCCCTAGCTCTGTAGAGAGCCCTTGGCTGGCACATTGAAGATCTCTGTTCATGGGAGAAATTGCAGGAGATCAGTTCTCTCACATCCAAAGACACTTGGAAGCAAAAGCAAATACAGTTCACCAGCTTGCCTGATGCTGAGGCTTTTGGCCTAAGGTGGGGGAAATGGAGAGGTCAAGAAAGAAAAAGACCCTCTCTTCTATCCAGCTGCACCCAAGTCTGAGAGCAACAGCAGGAACAGAGGAAAGGGTCTTTCCCACAGCAGCAGCATTGCCACTGCATGCAGGACAGCTCATTCATGAAGCAGAAGGGCAGGTGAAAGATTTGTGAGTGGCCAGTTTGGGGAGCTGCCACAGTGCAGCTCCTGCTATTTCTGAAGGAAAAGGAGCTATCAGGAGGAAGAGGACCAAGGTATGCTAATGGAGGGTAGAAATGGTCCCAAGTGGGGATGATAAACAAGCAGGCTAGAAAAGGCCAGTAGAGACTTTAGAGACCCAGTGGAGGTTGGTGACAACAAATTTATAGAGAAACAGGCCTAACTGGCATATACCTCTAGCAATGACCAGTCGTCTTGGGTGAAGAGATAGAACAGGCAGATAACTGGGCTCACACACTGTTGTGGTTTTGCAAGTTGGTCACAACCAGATGGTAAAATGATTAATGTGTAACAGCATTAGCAACCCAGAGAAATGATCTGTCTCTCAAAGGAGTTAATAGGATTTCTTCATTCTCTTGAGTAGAGAGGACCAAGGAAGGAAAGTCCTATAGAGAATGTTTGTTTCCCCTTTCTATATTGTAGCTTTGTCTCCCAGTGTGATGGTACTTACATCCTGGGCCATGGAAGTAATTACATAAGATCATGAGAGTGTAGCTCTCTGGATTGAATTAATAGTTTTATAAGAAGAGACAGAAATTTGTCCCCATGTGCAGTGTTATGGTATGTGCCTGGATGTTCCTCCAAAGCTTCATGTGGTCATGGCGGTTGGGCCTTTTGAAGGCCACTGAATCTAGCTTGTGATCGGTTCCTTGTCTACTGCTGAGATTGGAGGTGTGTGCTCTGCCCTACACCCACGCCTGGAGGGGGTACGCTGTGCACGATGTAAGGGAGAGAAAAAGGCTTGCTTCTCCCTTTTCGCCCCTTGTGTTCTTGCTGCTTTTGCAGTCTTCTGCTGTCATGAACTGTTGACCCTCAGAGTCATGCTGCCCTGCCTCAGAGTCAGCTGACTATGGACTAAAATCTCAGTGATGGTTTGTGTCTAGTTGTCCCTAAAGCTGCATACAGTCATAGAGCAGACTTCTAGAGTTTGTGATTAACTCATGATCCACTGGGATTATGGGTGTGAGTGTGTGCTGCTGGGATTACGGGTGTGAGTTTTACTCCCAGCCTGGGGCAGATAGTCTGAATGCAACTAAAAGGAGACAGACTTGTTCTCTGTTGCCATTGTTGCTGTTGGTCCTGCCCGTTTGCTCTTCTGCTGTATGCCACGGCCATGGAAAGTTCTGTGCCATGTGCCACTCTGCCTTAGAGCCAGCTGAGTATGAACTGAAACCTCCAGTAACTGTGAACCAAATAAACCTTTCCTTCCTTCATTTTAGGTGTCAGGTATTTGTCCCAGCAATGAGAGAAGAGTAACAGACACTGCACAAACTGTGAGCTAAATAAACTTATCCTACCTTAATTTTGGGCATCAGGTATTTTGTCTCTTCAATGAGAGAAATGTAAGACATGTAAGTACCAAGGAAGGCTATGTCAGAGCAAGGAGAGAGGGCACGCCATTCACAAGCAAGCAAGAAGGCCTTCCCTAAACCTGGCCATGTTGACTCTCTTGATTTCAGACTTCCAGCTTCCAGACCCATGAGAAAGTAAGTTTTTGCTTTTAAGCTCCTTGTCTACAATATTGTGTCATGGGACCCTAAGCTATGTCTGATGGGAACAATGGAACAAATAGACCAGAAGGACAGGTCAGAGAGTGGCATATCTGAATGAGAAACTCATTCTATTCACTTACATGCCAGGAGTTTTTTTTAGGTTTTGTAAGTGTAGAAGAATTATTCTAAGGTGATGGGAAGAGCTACATGGCAGGGGCAACCAAGAGCCAGGTGACAGAATTTTAGTTGAATGGTGTACAGTCTGTGAGTCAAAAAAGAGAGATGCATTTCTGCAATGAATGTTTATAAGTGGGGAGGACTGCAGTGGTAGGAAAGGAACAGTGAGACCCTTTCCCAGCCCTGAAGCTACAAGAGAGTGTCCAGTTATACGAAGAGGCAGAGCACAGAGGGTTCTTCATGATGGGCTAAGAACATGTTTGGCTGTTGGTTTTGGAGTTTCAGTGTCGCAGACATGGGTTTGCACAGTCCATGTCTTCACAGATTGTTTCCTCTTTTTGCTCCCACAACCACAGAGGGTCCTACCCTGTGCTCTGTCCTGAGCATGACTATTTGAGGGCAGGGGTACTCCAGGCTGAGAACATCTTGGAAACTTTACCACTCCCCTTCCTCTCAAGGCTGTTAGAGAACAGGCAAGTCCAGGAGACACCCCAAAGCCATAATTCACACATGGTATTGGGGTGGGGCTAAGGGTATGAGAGAGGTAGCCTGTGGAGGGAGAGAGGTCCTGTCACAGATGCTTCTGGGATTGAACTCGGTAGTGGGTAGCTGGGGCTGAGGCCAGGTTGTAGTGCATTGTCTTTGTAAGCAAGGCTGGTCTTATTCCTGCATCCTCATGGGTCCTGGTCATATTCAGGGAATGTATGGGCTATTCTCCACTACAGATGGTCCAGCTCTTAGGAACCACTATCAGAAGTATGAGCTGTTCACAATAGCCACTCTTGGGCTGGAAGGTTTTCCTGTGCTCTTCACCTCTTTTTTCAGGGGTGCTGTTCTTGGAGACCTGCTGAAAGCAGAAGGCTGTCACTGGCTGTCCCAGTATTAGTCCCTGGGCAGTGTCCCTCACTGTCCTCCCTGTAGGGGTAATCTGACCCAAGCCAGTCTCGGGTTCCATGGGGATCCTTAGCAGGCAGTAAATCACAACAAATGGACTAACAGTTTAGTTGGAAGCCCGGGCCTCGGGGGAGGGACTGCTGATGTGATGCTGATGTGAGGTTCTGAGATTCAGAGCAAAAAAGCTGCTCACCGTGGGCAGGACCTCTGCCTCAGGTCCTCTATGGTGTCCTTCAGGCTCTGCCCATGTGTCTCTGGCAGCAGGGCACAGAGTATACCAGTCCCAATGGGGAGGCTGCCGAAGATGAGCATGGGGAAGGCAGTGTGATACTCAACCAGCAGGATCACAAGAGGGGCGATGATGCCTCCAGTCCTGGAGAAGGTGCTCACCAGCCCAAAGCCAGTTTGTCTGGGGTAAGATGCATACAAGTGGAGCAGCCGTGACTTCACTACCAGGCTATAACTCTGCCCTAGACCCCAGACTGTTACCCTTAAAGGCCCTCAGGGTTGCCACCCTCATCCAGACCATCTGGTGCTCCTGCTCCCTGCTCCTGTGTGCCCTCTAACTTCTTACCTCTCTGTTTCCTGCTGTGCTCCTGCTCATCTGTCATGTCTCAGGTCAAAGGCTGAGCTTCTGTCCCACCACTTTCCCCACCTGAGTTGGATCATTCATCATTCTTTTCTTTTTTTTTTTTTTTTTTGAGGAAACGGGGATTTAACTCAGGCCCTTGCACTTGCCAGGCAGGGATTTAACTCAGGCCCTTGCACTTGCCAGGCAAGCAGTTATTCTACTGAGCCATCTCCCCAGCCTGGATCATTCATTCTTAGACATCCCCCACTTCTGTCCTGACAAGGGCAGGGCATGGCTTACTTCAGTATCTGTCCTGCACCCACCAGGGGATAGCTTTGGATTGGTCTGGCCCAGAGCAAGCTCTGTCAGCTATTTGTGGAATGGTCGAGGGTAATGGAGGGATGGCACAGATCAAGGTACTGGGAGCAGAGGAGTTGGAAAAGTATCAGAAGTTCTTACCGGACAACGGTGGGGAAGAGCTCAGCAGTATACACATAGGAGATGGTAAAGGCAGCAGCTATGGTAAGTTTCCCTACCATGGCCAGCATGGTGACCATTGTAGGCAGACCTGCTGGAAGATGCTGGTCAGGACACAGAAGTAGATTACCCAACACCGACTACCTGCCTATTACCACATGAACCAAACTCTTCACCCCTTTTGCACCTTAAGCCTAGGAAGCCCTTACTCTTGATAGGGGCACAATGGCCATTGGTCTAGTATCTGGAAGATGGCAAGGACTGGTGGGAAGCAGCCTGGGTACCTGATGGAATGAAGGCGATGATAATACACATGAGACCACCCAGAATCAGGCACCCAGACTGGCTCCACTTTCGGCCATACTTTTCCATGAAGAAGATACTGGAAATTCTGGAAGGCAACTCAACTGCTCCAAATATTAGCTGTGTCAGGTAGATGTCCATACCAAAGTCCCCTACTTGGAAGCTGAGTCCATAGTATACGAGGTTGTTCACAAACCTATAGAGTGTCCAAGGGTTGCTGTCACTGCTGGACATATAATACCATCACACCCAAAGAAAGAGCTTGCCTTGGCCTGGGTAACAGCAGAGGACATTGCTGCAATTGGGCTGAGACCACTCCAGCCGGTGAGCCACTGTCCCACCAGAGTACTGACATACGCCAGAAAATGGCAGCCCCCTGGCTCTGTTTTTGGGGAAGGGCTTGGACTCTGGTCACTCACCAGACACACATAAGAATCAGGGTCACCTTCCGGAGATGAGGGTGTCTGAAAAGATCAAAGGCATTCCCCAAGGGGCCTTTGTCCTCTGGGGCTATCTGGAAGGAGAAGCTGATTGAGGGGCCCGGGGAAGATCTGGGTGGAGAACCTCTGGGCAGGGATGGTCAGGGCCTGCCGTAAGTACCTGGTTTAGGAGCTCTGGTGTGAGTTCCCTCTTGTTGACTAATGCTGCCTTCTGGATCAGTTGCTTGGCCTCCTCCACCCTCCCCCGGATAAGGAGCCATCGTGCAGATTCTGGGACAACCCTGTGGGCCAGGAATGGCTATGACCTTGGGGTCCAGTGTCCTGTGGATCTTTCCAGCCATTCCAGTGCCTAGTGAACCTCATGGTCAGCTATCAAGGCTACCTCTCCCAGACCAGCTTCTCATGACCCTAGGAAGTAAGAGTGAAGGAAGAGTTGCACCCAACCCCCAGCACAGCTTAACCAGGGAGATCTGCTTCTAGCAAGTGTCTCCTCACTGGAAGCAGAAGAAAAGCAGCAAGATGGGCACAGTGCTGAAGATCTGAAGGAGCCTCCATTTTCGGACACCATAGGCAGTTCCTGCTAGCCCCATCTGCCCAAGGGCAAAGGCAGTCATGTTCAAGACGATAGCAGAAGTTCTCCTTGATGGTCCCACCCACTCTGAAACTGTAGGAACAGACAGGTGAGATTGGGCCACACCCACCCACTAACTTCCTGTTGTTCCCCTGATGCCACCATGGCAGTGCTGAGGCCTCAGGCCCAGTACAGCAAGCTGTGATTACTTTGTGTGCTGGGTGATTACCAAGTCCCACATAGGCAGTTAAGGGACATAGCTAGTCCAGGCCCCTGCCCACATCCTGTGGCCTAAGGCCCAGATACTCACGTAGGGTGGTAATATTTAAGGTGTATCCTCCAATGGCTGTAGCTAGAACAAAGCGCAGGATCGTGTAGAACTCAAAGCTGGGCACAAAGGCCATGGCCACACCTGAGATGGCAAATAGGAGCAGCTGCACCAAGAAGGAGGCTCTTCGGCCAACTCTGAGGTAACAAAAAGGTAGGTCTGTGTGGGGACAGGACCTTGTGGGAAGAAGTGAGGGAGAGCCTGGTGGGCCTGCCCTGAATTCTCCATTCAGGAGGCGATGGCCCTTCTCTGGGAGCCTAGTCTGAGGAGGAGTAGGAGGGCTTTATCCTGGAGACCAATGTGAGGGGAAATGTGGGCCTACACCAGGAGCTCAGAGTGCTAGGTTGGGGTAAGCTGGCAAGGTCCGTACCGGTCACTGATGGGCCCAAAGATGAGAGTGCCAACGAGGAGTCCAGCCATGAACAAGGATTGCGAGGTTTTCTTCAGATGCTTCCGATCACAAACAAGGTTGAACTAAGGCAGACACAGGCAGATGTGAGTCTAGGGGAAGCCTGGAGGGTAAATTCTTCACCATAGCCTAGCCCACTACTAATGCTTGAATGCAGCAGCCCATGGTTCCCAAACTGTGCCAGTGCATCACAGTGAACTCAGTGGACATAGCAGCATGTTTGAGAATCTGAAGATAAATTTGTACAACATTTGACATCTCTCTGACATCCCCCAAATTGTTAGCTGAGGGTGGTTTATAGTTGAACATGAGATTGTACTGCTTTCCTTCCAATGACACCATATCAGTGTGAAATTTTTTTGGGGGGGTTGCTATGAGAAAAAGCAAACACAATATGTAATCGGTGAGGAACCAAAGATAGGGGTAGCATCTTTCCAGGATGGAGGACTTGCGTGTGCTCAGGAAGACACACATCATACTGGTAAGTCATTGCATTTAAGATTGATGCAACTTCAGTTGATGTTTATTATTCTGTAAGACAACCAGCAAGTTGTTAGGACATACATACTTCTTGGTTGGGCTTACAGACTTAAATAATAATTTCCTTTGGCCAGGCAGTGCCATGTGATAAGACTGACACACTCAGGCTGATAATTTGGCCTTTTTACAGACATCCACTGGCTGCTTCCTGACACACAGGGCCTCTCCCTACACTCTCTGCACCCTGTGGCTACTTGGGCCTCTCCAAGTTTCCCATCTGGTTACAAAACCTGCCTGGTGCCCACTCACGGACAGTCAAAACATTGAGGAGCATTCCCACATGCCTTCTGATTAGGATGGAAGAACATGCACACATGGAGGACAGACAGACTGACAGACACACAGATACACACAGACAGACAGACAGACAGACAGACAGACAGACAGACAGACAGTTAGAGGGTGTGCATCTGGCAAAGGGTTCCAAGACCGCTGGAGACCTGTGGTCAGCCTGACCAGCAGAGTGTGAACCAAGTGAAGACAGCGTGCAGGTCCACGTGGCTCTGAACACCTCTGTGCCGTGTACATGCTGGGCCCTGCCTTGCTGAGGTGGGCCCCTCAGGAAGTCCTTGCCCCTTGCACACATGTCTGCCCCATCCCTGAATGGCGTGGGAGGTCGCCATGTGAGCTCTCCTTGGACTTCACCAGCACACACACGCCCGCACACACTGACGCTCAGGACTGCAGGGCACGCTTTCCATGCAGCGTCTCTTTGATCCTCACGAGTGCCCTTGACTACCGCTGTGCTTCCCAGAGGGAGGAAGAGCCCAGCAGCCAATGCCCGGCCCACTGCTGCATGGCAGCTGCTGTTGAGACATCTCCGCCTGACACAGAGGTTGAAGCTGGCGAAGGGCAAGAGAACGTTTGCTGAAGATGAATAAGTGAACTAAAGCCTCCACAAGCTAAATACTCGACCACCATCAGTTCAATAACCTCAGCAAGAAATTAACCAATCCAGGAGTCACACTGCAGCTCTATTTCTATTCTCAAGAACAGCTGTTAATTTCTGAGACCTTTCAATGCAAGTCAAATGATCACCTGCTTCTGGGAATGAAGGAGGGCAGGAAAACGGACAAAGCTGGCATTCCATCCAGTTCCATGTAGCTTTGGTTCTGTCTAGATTGCTTTTGTGGTAAAATGCCATGTAAAATAAATAAAAATAAACACAGGTCTGCAGGCACCAACCCCAGAAGTAGAAAGTGAGGGGCCCCGTGTGACTTTTGGCCTGCTGTTACTCAGTCTGTGTCTTGGTTTCCTAGAGTATAAAAGAAGAATAAAATGTTCTACAGAGCATGACCTGAAAAAATTAAAGGAATGCCCAGCTGCAACGTGCTTAGCTTAGCTGCTGTTACGCTGGGAGGTTTCAGTGGGCCAGCTAGGGTGAAGCGTCCATCGGGCTGTGCCACTGTGGCCTGCAGAATTCCACCCTCAATTCTTGGAACGCTTTGTACCTTATCTTCCTCCTCCCATTTTCCACTGTCAATGGCTCCCTTTTTTATCTAGGAGAAAGTCCAAACTTCTCAGCACTGGATCTAAGGCCCTTGAAGAGATGACTGTTGCTTACTTCCCAGCTTCTGTTCTGTCAGTATTCCTCAGATATGCTGAGCATTTTTGTGCTTATAGGTGCTAACAGTGGCTGTTCCCCTGCTTATCCTTAACCCTACTCTGACCTCTCCTTTATCCTAGGATGGATCACATTGTTGCTGCTATACATTGATTTTTATCTGCCTCTTCTTTTTCCAAGGGTGGGCATGCAGAAAATATTACATGGGTAGGTTGAGGAGGCAAAGCATTGGACCTATGAGGAAATGTGGTCTTTTCAAATTTGTAAGGCTTATAACCCACTTTGAGTGTGAAGCTGCTTGTTATAAGGAAATTGGGGGTGTCTTCTCAGACAGGGCCCTTTGGATTGTTGTACAGAATCCCTGCTCACAGTTGGGGAGAAAATGTAGACCTCACTCCAGGAGAGCTCTGCTCTGGGACAGTTTGGATTATCTTATGGTACAGGACACACAAAGATGGGGATTTTTTGGGAGTCACAGCCTTTGCAGGGTGGAGGAGGGAGGAATATGATAGGGCAGCTAGGAAGGCTGAGGTCAAACCCAGTTGGCACAGACTCGGTTGCTGATTGAGGATAAAGAGGGAGATCTTGGAGAGCTGCTCACAGCGTGTTGGAGAAGCTGAAGTCCACACTGGCTTATAGAGCTGTAAGTAGATCCATAACAGTTTGGCAGTACAATCAAGTGAGCTGCTCTGAGCTGTGATATCATCTGCAAATCTTGTTTCCTGATATCTCCTGCAACAAACAAATCTAAATCTCCATCTGAGCATGTGCTAATAATTTTTGACAGCTATGCCGTGACTGGACTAGTGGAGTCGTAGACGCTAGGAGTTTCTGAAAAGGCAGGGAAAGAAGATTATGAACTACAAGCCTGAGTAAACACACAGATATGTTTCTAGTCAGGTTTTCAGGAACATCTTTATCCCCATTTAAAAATGAGAAGGAGAAGTGAGTGCCTACAATGACATACTACTGGCGGTCTTCACTTCCTTCTTGCTATCATCTAGGATGATCTCAGATGTGACCCCTCTATTATTGAGAAATCTATCAAGGACAAACAGGAGCCTATTACTCTAGATGTAAAGCTGTCTGTGTCAAGTCTGTGAGGTATAGTGTTCTGGAGTTGCACAGAGAGGCCAAAAGAAGGCATCTGATAAAGCAATGCTGGCTGTCCCGTAGTCTCCAGCATTGAAGAACAGCAGTTGGTGTGTGCTGGCATATGCTGATGTACACCTTAGGTGGGAGTCATGACATGTGCCCAAACTTCCAGCAGTCCAGGGGGCTGAGGTACAAAGACCAGTTCTGAACTCATTGTAGTGACTTAGCAAGACCCTGTCTCAAAATAGAAATAGTAAAACAGACTGAGAATATGCACAGTAGAATACTTATTTTTCAGTACTGAAATGAAAACAAAAAGCACACCTTTCATACAGTCTTTTTCTCTGACCTTGAGCATATTCAGTAGTTCATAAAGGTCATGAAAGTAGGTAGAATCTGTCTTGGCCCTCCTCATATATATGACTTTAACTTTCAAGGATATTTGTTTACCATTTTCTGATTTTGGGGAAAACTAATTTCTAATTTCTTTCACTGATAAATGAAATAACATATTGACCTTTTTGAACGACATCAAATAAAGCCAGGTGTGGTGATGCACACCTGTAATCCCAGCACTCAGGTGGCTGAAGGCAAGAGGACCGCTGCAAGTTTGAGGCCAGTCTGGGCTACAAAGTGAGTTCAATGCAGTCTGAACTGCATAGTGAGACCTTATCTAAAAAACAACAAGAAAGATACCAAATAGATTGAGTTCAAATTTTAAAATTGGCTGGGGATATAACTCAGTGGCACCAGTGCCTATCTGGCGACTGCAAGTTTCTAAGTTCAATTCCTGATACTGACCAACCAACCAACAAACAAATAAACAGTCCCCCCAAAAACAACCATATAAGCAAGATTTAAAGTCATTGTTCCTAGTTGTTATTTGTCATATGTAATTAATATAGATTTGTGACCCTTAATATAGATTTAAAGACACTTTGTAACTTTTATTTTGGTCTTTTTTTTTTTTTTTTCCTATTTTGATTTTTGGTACTGGGGTTTGAACTTAGTGTCTTGTGATTGTTAGCAGAGCTACATCTCTGGCCCCTTTTATAACTTTTACTAGGGATTTTATCAGTTTATTTTGGTCTTACCTTGCAGTTTTTAAAATGTGTAGGTAATCTTTTCACCTTCCCCAAATCCTAATTTCTGCAGATTTAGTACCATGGAATGAGTGCTCTCCCTGTCGATTAATTTGTGTGTAGATTATGAGGATCAATCTTAATTGAGAATTTATTCATTTGAAAGATGGCCATGAGATTGGTAACGCACCCTTCTGGGCATGTATCAGCGGGTCAGGGAGGGAGAACCTCAGGGGCTGTATTTGGTCCCCGGCCCCTTCCTCCCTAGCTCTTCCTTGCTTTCACATTCCTGGCTGCCATGATATGAAGAGTGTTCCTCTGCCATGTGCTTCTGCTGTGATGTTTGTGCTTTGGGAATAGCTGACCATGGACTGAAACTTCTGAAACTGGGAGCCGCACTATCCCTTTTCCCTTTTAAGTTGTGCGCAGTAGGTATTTTGTCCCAGCACCTGAAAGATAACTAATATAGAACACTGATGCTTCTGAAATAGGGTTGCTGTGGTTATATCTGACTGCGTAATTCAGAAGGCTTTAAAGTGGTTTGTGGGAAGAGACTGGAAAAGTTTGGAGATGCAGGCTAGTGAAGCCTTAGAGTGTCATAAGCAAAACTTGATGAGCAGTTTTGGTGGAATGTTGATAGGAACATGGGAAGTAAAGACTGCTTGTGAAGTTTCTAATGGGAAGGCAAACTGTACTAGAGGCCATGCGTGTTGTAGCTTGGCAAATAATTTGTCTATATCTTGTCCATGCCCTGAAACTTTGTGTGAGGTAAAGTTTAAAAGCATTGGATTAATTGATCTGTCAGAGGAAATTTCAAGGTAGCCCATTCAGGCTATGACGTGCATAATACTGACTGCTTTTAATGATTTACAGTTAAAAACAGGTAAAATGATCAATATTGACATGCATATGTATATGTACCAATTATCCAAGATGAATGTAATTATCATGTGTCATATATAATATTTATGTTATATAATTATATATATAATTAAAAATATTTTAGAGGATATGAAAAACTTGCTTTTTGATCAAAAAAGAAATGATTATACTGGGTGAGTGTGGTGGCATTTCTGTAATTCAGACACCTGGGTGGCTAAGGTAAGAGGATCACTGTGAGTTTGAAGACAGCCTACAATACAAAGTGAGTTCAAGGCCAGCCTAAACTTCATAGTGAAATCCTGTCAGAGAGAGAGAGAAAGAGAGAAAGAGAGAAAGAGAGA